TCTACATGTGCTGGTGGTGGTGTCTGCGCTTTTGTTTGCGGCACCGCGCGTTGCGCTCTGGCTGTGGGCCTCTGCCTCCCATGGGGGGGGCTGGCCCAGGTGGGGGGGTTTTTAGACCAATATGCCTTTGGTAATGAGGGCTGTCTCCGCAGCGGCACCAAGGTGGGGTAGATGAATTTATCCAAAGAAACTAAAACCACTCCCACTCAATGTTTGAAGGAGGTGGTCTCCTTAAAAACCAAATTCCTATTATTTTTTCATTTCAATACATGCGTTCTTAGGAATGGTATTCCCTTTATTGGCGTTTGGCCTTCGAAAGTTGGAGCCAATGCCCATTATCCCCCATTATTTTGAGGGATGCCATGGACCAGCAAATTCCCTTCTTGAGAGTTTACGGATTCATAAGCTAAAAACGTCATACAGCACCGGGGCCAGCAGAGTCGAGCTGGGAGAAAACATTATCCAAGAAGATCCTGGGGCGCGAATCAGTGTGCCATCAGCAGCAGTTTCTTTTATATATTGCACTTTAGTGTGAATGCTGCCAGAAAAAGAGTGGCACGGAGCCTAGAGATAGTAACAATTATGTCCTCCAGTGGTGAAAATTAGATTAGCTGCTGAGGGGACTCAGAGAGGCGAAAAAGTTCATGTTCTGCCACCTACGGGATCCATTGCGATTTCATTACCAATGCGCTCTCCAAACGCCCAACGGTAGTAAAAAAAAAAAAATATAAAAACAAATTGTATTTATGTATATTTATGTATTATTCTTGATGTCCCGTTGCATTGGAGTAACATCCATAAAGCCACGAAGAAGAAAAAAAAAACGTGGTGGTGTGGTGTGCGGTCCTTTTTTGGACGGCCGGGATCGCAGAAACCCCGCCAGAGTATACACTTCCCCACTCCCAAGGTCCACCTTTGCTGGTGCAGCAACCAAACTAATAATCCACAGACACACCAGCACGCCAGCAACGCAACGAGGCAGCTTCCGTTTCAGATGCCGCCCCAGCGACCCCTGCAGGCCAAAGTCACTCACGGCACGCGGACGGCACTGCGCCGCACAGCAAGAGTGCACACAAAGTCATGCCACCATTGGGGGTGGTGGTTCTAAGGGCAAACAATGCACTACACACAGTGTCCTTTCGAGCAAGAACAGCAATTGCTATTCTGAAAGGAGCTTTGTGATCAATTTATAGACGCAGGGACGCATCCATTTTGGGTTTTTTTTGTTTTTTTTCTTTCTTCCTACAAGGGAAAACAAAAAAAAGAAAACAAAAGGTTCTTATCGTTTGTAAAAGATGATGTTGACCAACTGCAGGTTTTAAAAATAAAACGTAATCAACCAATACACATCATATGATGGCAAAAAAGTAGAGAGTTCCCTTTTTACGCATTAGTTTTTCCACCCATTAAAACACTTCACTCAGCCCCTCCTCCGCATAAAATCAGAAATGAAGCCTATCGCGCAATGCCGAAACTGTGCATATATATGTAAAGAAATTATTGTAAAAAAAAAAAAAAAAACTTCCCAATCCCCATGGCAACTACAGGCGTAGCCCCATGCCATTTGCCAAAAAAAAAAAGATGTTTTTTCCATTCATTTTCCAAATCAAAATTTGTCCTCAAAACTTTATACCCTGTAAATATGTTTTTCCCAAAAAAAAAAAAAAAAACTGCAGCACCATGCATACAGATGTATCCAATGTGCGCATTGACGAGCAAAATCACATAGCAAATGCTAACCTTTATGAAATTTAGTATAATGGAAAGCTCAGAGAGCGTATCACCATCAGAATAGAGGCGAGGCGACGCCATTTGGCTTTTGCTCCGTCTGGGTCCGCACCTTGAGGGTGCTTCACAGCGGCACAGCCAAAGCAGCAGCAGCAGCAGCAGCAGCCATCAGCAGAAATAGAGCGTGGAGAACACAGGCTGCAGCAGGAGTGCCATCCATACCCATATGAATCTTAAGCTCCTCTTTCACTTGTGGAGATGTAAGATTATTCTTGTTTATATTTCCCCCAGTCGTCACCGGAACAGTAACGTTGTCATTTGCAGACACTTTGTCACCGGTGGTGTTCTGTGTCCTCTGTACACTCTGTGAGGGCACGCTGCTGGAATTATTGTTAGTATGCCCACTTTCTGTACCAACTGTCTCCCCTTGTTCTTGATGGGATTCATTATTTTCTGTCGTTGTTGTTGTTGTTGTTATTACTGGTGCTGGCAGTGGTTTTGGTTCAATCAGTGGAAGAAGACTGCTGCCATCAGAAAAAATGGTGCACACCTCACTGTACTTGGGGCATTTGATTTTGATGGTATTGTTTAAACCCGCGGGCTTCACCTCAATTATATCACCCTCCCCCGAGCAGTTTTTCCAGTCGCTGATGCCGTTGTACATCACCCTCACTTTACCCTCTTCACAAGACACCCGTGCACATATACCAGTTGCAAACAACGGAATTGTCTCATCATCAAATACTCCCGGCATACTACCCGCATTGTACTCTTCTGTATCCAAGCAGAACGAATCAACCCTCTCAAAGATTGACCCAGAAATATTGAGCTGTGGCTTCTCGCTGCAAAGTAAAGACGTTTTATCCCCCCTGGGAGGCTCAACCAGTTCGGCAACATTGCATTTCTTCTTATCGGGGTATCGATCGTCAGGAAGTGGGGTGCACACTCCATATCCAAGGCGATCACTTGTACATGAAAAAACATTCTTATCCTTAGGACAAATCTTCGTAGAAATTGTTGTGGCATCCTCAGCTTTGCATTCACTTTTAAACAAATCGCACCCACTCTGGTTTCCCCAACTCATAGACTCCTCCATGCCCCAATTAACCGTGTAAAATGGTAGGCCATCAAACACAGACATTGTTAGAGCAGAGTAGTGCATGGCACCAAAATTGTACCTAGAGGACATCAAATCATCAACCGCGTTTCTCCAGGCCAAGTGCGACAAATTAAGAATATGGGCTTCAACAGTAGCATAAGCCAATTCCAAACCTTCCAGTTCACTGCAGTTATAATATTTCTGTGCCATCTTCATCGTTTGGTTTGAGTTCACCACACGCCTCATTCCATTACCAAACTGGATCTCAGCCACCATATTATTTTTCTCAAACACCGTATAGTCAAATCCAAGTACATGCGCAATCTCATGCGCGACACGACGCACATTATATCGCTGTATCTTGAGGGGAAATATCTGAACATTTATCGCCCCAGCAACAGGTCGACCAGAGTTGTTATCATAAGCACAGGGAACACCAAACGCAAGTTCAGGTCTCGCTGCAACATAGAGCACCATGTCAGCATTCTCAACACCCTTAGAATGGTGGTCCTGAGGAACAATAAATTTCTTGCAAACATTGTCGTCTTCAAACTCAGGAACCTTCAACGGACCTTCCACAGGATCAACGAGCAGACGATCCGCGTGCAGTTTAATGGCTGCAGGAAGAATTGTGTCGAGAAAAGTCTTTTTCATTTCCTCAGAAAGAACAAATTGATCTAGGCAGGGAGCATCATCTCCCTTGAAGTCTTTGATCGACGGTTGATTAACCTTACTGCAATGGTTACCTTCTACCAAGTCCAATGTTGAGGTATTTATGCGGATAAATGTTCGGTTCGTTGTGACGACGGTGTACCCCCATGATGCGCCCTGTCCCTGCTGGGGCAAATTCTGCACAACTTCAGCAGAATCCGCAGCGAGGATTCCACTTGTGCTGCACAACTGTACAAATAGAAACAACAGCAGCATGAGAAACAGTGAGACGTGCATCTGTCGGGTCATTGTCTCACAGTAGTGTATAATGGATATATAGGTTTGCTTGCTTTGTAGCTTTTAAACAGCAGAACTACAAGAAACAAAAGAAAGGAACACACAAATGGGAAAAAGAAGAAAAAGATAAAAAATATCAGTGTATGGTATATACAGTGGTACCATAGATGGGTGAACACTCGGGTACGCAGTCACTGTGTGTAATGTTAACCACATACAAAGATACACAGAGATGTCCGTACAACATGGGTCGTAAAGAGTACCACAGTGATTTAAAGCAACACTGTCAAACCATTCGAGACATCTCTCATCCAGAAACTCAAACATAAAAAAAACATTATACGCGATAAATAATCATATATAGAATGCCAAGGATAAATCACAGAGAAAGGGAGCTGGGGGTGACTCGAATTATTCTTCGGGTCCTCCATTTCTGTATTTACACCGCCACGAGGGCACGGATATTATATTCCTCCATCATCATCCTCCTTGACGGCGGTATTCCCAAGAAAACAGATGTTTGCCCCCCAGAATGAGAAAATTTGAAAACAAATAAATAAATAAATAACCCAAAGACACAACAGACCTATGCTGGTACCGAAACTCCTTTTAAGGTCAGCATCTGCTGGGGAAACTCCACTCTGGCTTTTGGAAACTATGAAATAACTACTTGAAATGTGACACTAGATTGGCTACGCCTAATAAACTCCATCATGATACCTTACTTGGGTGACGTTAATGCTTTATAAAGTTGTTGGTTGTGTGAGAAAAAAAAATAAAAAAAGAAAAAAAAGATTATTTTACTTGATGTGAGCATTTAGAGGGTAAAGTTATATTTGAAGTTTGGCATCTGTAAATTTCGTTTATGTTTCGCTACGGTCGATACTTAACATTTATCTGAGAAAGACACGACGATCCATATCTAGATTGGAGTTGAATGTCTTGTATAAAGATACATAAAAGTAGTGATAAAACAAAGCAGAAAATAATTATAGATAAAAAGTTTATTCCTCTTTTTTTTTCTTTTCCTTTTCTTGTTTCTTCTTTACCCTTAATACTGATGTATGACTAACTTTTTTTTTTCGCAAAGTATTATAGATCCACAAAATGTCAAGGATCGTGATTGTATTTCTTTTGACTGAGAAATGCTATTTTGCGATTTGTTGATAGTATTCTTGCTCAAGAGTCAAGGGGTTAGAAGATGTATTTTTTTGTAATAAATCAGATTGTTTTCCATCCATACTTTTACCATTTTCTTCAACAATACTACCATTATTGTGACTGGTTTCTGAAGTGGTACCAGCAGTAGCCTTTGGTCCGATGCCTGCAGCATAAGATTCCAATTGTAGTCCCAAATGCTTCGCAAAAGAACCCGAAGACACCGCATATCCTGGAAGTGCGTGCGAAACAAAATCGTAGATGAGTTCTTTTAAGTGTGCAACTGCAGTTACTATTTCTTTCTTTTTAGTTTCATATTTCGCCGATACTTCATCACGTTTTTTGCCCTTTTGTGCATATGATTTACTTTCTGTCAGAGATTTATTTTTTTTTGCGTATTTTTTTTCAGTTTCGCTAATGTCATAGCGATATGTATCGTATGATTTCCTTAAATCTCTGAGAACTTTATACATTTTGGCAACTTTTTCACGTTCAGCGATGATGGGTTTTAGTCCTTCCTTAACATATCGGGAAATGTCCATCTGTAGTGATGCCATGGCTGGACCATCCTTTAGTTTTCTCATTTCTGCCTCAAAGTCCTTGGAAAATAATTGGATATTACGGTCATTTTCTTGTGTTATTTCCGTAAAGGTATGAGCCACTTTTTCATAGGAGGTCATCAGTTGCTGGTATTCCGTTATTGTCTCTGCGATATTCTTTTCAAGGGACTTAAATGCCTTGGACAATCCTTCCAGATATTGACCCACATCGTCAACATCCTTGTCAGCAGTTTCCGGGATTTTGGTACAACACGGCATAATTTTTATTTTTTTGCTTTTTCTGTTAATTAATCAAATATATTTTTTTTTTTGCTCTAACTTTTTTTTTTCTTTTCTTTTTTTTCTATTTGGTGAACCCAGTGTAAGCAATTTATCTACACGTCAGCAATCTCCCCAGCCAAAAGACATTCCCCCACAGAGACAAATAGATAGATAGATAGAAAGAGTAAACATTAGAGTACAGAAAAGCAGAGGATTCAGAAAAAAAAAAAACAAGAACATAAGAATAAAACAAGGAATATTCCCAACCTTGATATTCACAAATAGAAAAAAAAAAGACTCCTCATCCCCATGAACGGGTAGCACTTCCCCACGTAAAAGAATAGAAGGGGAATGGGTTCTTTAGATAATTCAAAGAAAAGCAAATAAATAAACAAAAAGAAATAATAATAATATAAAAGATTAGAAATGAAAACCAAAGAAAATCCATTGATTATAAAACAACAACACCACACATACATACACATTATAGACGGAGACATTATTATTTAGCTAACCTAGCTCTCATGCTT